TCCATGGCGAATCGCCGGCCCAGCTGCAGCGTCAGGCGGGGCGAGGGGAGCGCCAGCCGCAGCGTGCCGGGGAGGGGGCGCTGGCGAGGAGCCCTGGGCCGGGCGGGCGGGCTCCGCGGCGCGGGGCGGAGGGCTAGCCCGCGGGCGTCGGCTCCCGAGCCCGGGCGGGGGAGGGAGGCTGCGGGTCCCTGCCGGCGGCCTGCGGGGGGCACCCCCACGGGCGTTAGGTTGCGAGGAAGCAACTCCGAGGCAGCAACACAAAGAGCAGGAATGGGGGTTTAAAACCCGCTTGCTTTTAAAATAACTGAAGACGGAATGGGAACGTCCCCTGATTGGGCAGGGGTGGACCCTAACGTCGGGCCCGCATCGAAATTTGCTCTTGGCGCTTCGGTGTTCACCGCACTCAGGCTCAGGCTGGTTCCTCACTTATCATCGGAAGAGATAGGACCCAGTGAGGCTAGGCTCTGTTTTTGCTCTCCTACGGAGTTTTCTTACATCAAGATTTTATTCGGAGGGAATTACATTTTTCTCTTTGCACCGTCTTCTGCGTGATTCGAGGTCTCCCTGTCCAGCATTCAATGGCCTGATTTGGGGATCTTACATGCAGACATATACATTCCTGTCTTGCTCTCCAGTTCCTCAGAATAACTAATGATGGGGTTGGCTGGAAGGTGGGGGGCGAGGGGGAAATAATTTGCGAACAGAGAATGCCTCACAGCATACTCCATTATAAAAAATAAAATAAAATAAAAACTCTTAAAACAGGGGTTCACTCCATTGCGGTTCCCTTACCATACGGACAATAAAGGGCAGGATACCCGGTGATTCCTGCCAGTTCTTGAAACGCAGAAATCGTGAATCGAAACACCTCTCCCAGATCATATTGTCCTTAAATTCTTTTTTTTTCTTCTGTTATTTTTCTCTTCTTCTTCCTGATTTTCCAGATGTGCTGGTTCTGCTAGGGAGGCAGGAGAGGTACCTGGAAATTGAGGAGAAGTGGACAGACAAGCCCTCTCTTGCCTTGCTCTTCTAAATCCCCGTTCCCTTAAGCAAGGCTCAAGCATAAAACACATTGCCTGATGGAAATGGAGAAGGAAAAGAGGCAGAAAGCAAAATATTAAACACTATTCCTATCCCATATTGGGCAGACACTGTGAAGGAGATTTTGCTTTTTACTTATTCTCCCCTGATTATCACCCTCTAGTAGTATCTGTGTCTGTTTCAGATTCTTGTCTAATTACAGATTAAAAACTTGATTCAAACGCATTCCAAACTTAAAAACTTAAATATTTTTAAGTTAAATGCAAATTAAATGAAGACACCATTGTTTAGCCATCAGCCTAATGAAGATATATTGAGTTGGCCCGTGTTTGGGAAATAGACCATCATAAACATGGTTGGAGGGAATAAAAATGGTAAACCTCTTTGGAAGGAAATTAACAACACCAATCATAATTGTATATGCATATACCGTACTGTCTTTTTCCAGCAATTCCTCATCTGGACGTTTATGCCACAGATAAATTCATGCTGTGTAAGAATCATTGTTGGAGTATTACTTATAGTGCAAAAGACTGAGAACAGCCTAAAGATCCATCTACAGGAAATGGTTAAAATACAATACCATTGAAAAGAATGAAGAGCTCTGTGTCTGCTAATGTGGAATAATCTCCAAATAATATTACTAGAGGAAAAAGCCAAGTGCAAATCAAGGTGTGAAAACAAGGAAGGCATGCAAGTTTGATGATATGCAGTAAGCACTCTGGTTCATCCCGTACACCATGGGCCTTCCTTCTAGTTGGATGTTAACTGTGGTAAATATTTCTAATGTTGTCTGTCAATATAGATGATGACAATAGATAGATAGACAGATAGATGCCTGTTTGGCCTTAGGAAGTCTGCACAAGCAAACGTAAGAAATTAATGAAGTTGAGCTCTGTGGAGAAGACCACAATGCCTGAGGTTAGAGGAGAACTTATTGCCACTTTCTATCTTTCTGTATTGTTTACATTTTTATTATGTGCAAGTATTGATTTTAAAAGTAATTAAAACTCAATTATAAAAACACTCTAAGTTCAATAACCAGTAACATTAATCAAAATTGAAGATGCTTACTGCATCCCTATAAAAATGCACCCAACTTTTTTTGTGTAGTGGCACATCAAAAATGATGTTTGTGCAGCTCACTGAAGCCACCAGTGAAGGATGCTTCTCACAGTCTGAGGCTACTGGTCTGGGGGCCCAGTCACAGAGGGACCCACCCACATTCTCCCAAGGACCCAGGAGACCTTATCACACCTGAATTCCCACCTCTGCACACCAGAATGCCAATAGCACACCCGATGGAAAGTTCTAGTCAAAACGGGGAAATGGAAACCATCTAAACATGGAGGAATGGTTAAATTGTGCATATCTACTCAAAGATGTTTAAACAAACCTTTACAATGATGGCTTTAATGTATTGTAGTATGTTAGCTTAACGTATTTACCATGCTTATACAATACTATTGTAACTGAGTAAAAATAAACATTTTTACTGACTTGAAAAGACTGACAGGACTGAAAAGATGCAAAATTGTAATAGCTATGCTTAAATTTGATTATAGGATTTTGTATCTGCTTTCGAAATGTCTTCAACAGTGTTACATTTGTTTCATAATATAAAAATGTATCAAGACGAAAAAGTTAAGAGAAACTTCACTGAATTCAGACAATGTCTTAACCTGGCTTTTTCGGGATAAAAAAAAAAATCTAGTTCAATTACTAGAACTATTTAACTTAATCTTGCAAATTCTACATATGAACTTATAATGACTCTTTTACTGTGGGGCTAGTTTCTACATGTGGATCTTGATCAGAGAGCAGGAATGAAGTGATGCTGGTCAAACAATTTTAACTTCCAACATAAATTCAAATTCTTGCCTTAACCGGTTTGGCTCAGTGGATAGAGTGTCAGCCTGCGGACTGAAGGGTCTCAGGTTCAATTCTGGTCATGGGCACATACTTTGGTTTGGGGGCACATTCCCAGTAGGGGGTGTTCAGGAGGCAGCTGATAGATGTTTCTCTCTAGTCCAGTGGTTCTCAACCTTCTGGCCCTTTAAATACAGTTCCTCATGTTGTGACCCAACCATAAAATTATTTTCGTTGCTACTTCATAACAGTAATGTTGCTACTGTTATGAATTGTCATGTAAATATCTGATATGCAGGATGGTCTTAGGCGACCCCTGTGAAAGGGTCGTCCGACCACCAAAGGGGTTGCGACCCACAGGTTGAGAACCGCTGCTCTTGTCGATGTTTCTAACTCTCTGTAAAAAAAAAAAAAAAATCAATAAAATATATTAAAAAATAAATTCAAAGTCTTACCAAAGAGATTTCAGAAGACCTAAGACTAGGAACTGATTTCTGTCACACCAAGGTGTTCAGGCCACCAAGTCACTCTACTGATAAAAAGCCTCCTCCCATGAGGCTCAGGGTGGAGCCTGAATCCTCAGCCTGACATTCAAGGACCTCTCCCCTCCAGCAATTCTTCCAGGCGATCCTCCCACTCCTACACTTCTGGTGAGCTCACTTTATTGTCCCCCAAGGATAAATGTACTTGTCTTCTAGCCTTAACTGAAAGCCCTCCCCTCTGATTCTATCTTCTCAATCCTTTCAAGACTTGGTATTTTTTCCACGGGGCCTCTTCTGACGGCTCCAACCCTGAGGGGCTGGTCTTTTTAAATGACAGCCCTCTTGCCTGTATCCGTCATTGGACGCTGCCTGATAACATCTTTTGTGCTGTTATTTGAATAACCTTGATGCTATATTTTGTCCCTCTCTGTAAAGAGCAAATCCTTTGAAAGAAGTTATATTTTCCGTAGCCTGGAAGCTCGGTGTTTATGGCATGTTGCCTGCCTGAACAGGTACCGCTCTGTTTATTTCAGGGACTCAGTAAGTACCTACCAGATGAATGATTCAAGTTGGTGACATTGTAATAGATATGTTTTGCAGCCGGCTATGTGCCTTTTAGGTAAAAATTATTGCTGCACAAATGTTGTTCCCAGAACTGACAGAGGTTACATTAAAACATGACATGAATTTTAGTTACTATGACTAATGCCATTAAAAAGGAGAATTGGGGAAATCTCCTGAGAAAAGAGACACTTTAATTATTTCAATTAGCAGAACAGCTCTTGACCTCAGATGTGCTCCAAAAATGTTCAGTGATCTAGTGAAGCTATATATGCTGACAGCTTATTGTAGAAGCATAATCATAACATTTTCTAAACTGGCAGATAGCCTTTGCAAGAAACACTGATTATTAAATGTGAATCAGTAGGTCATGGGCTAAGAAATGTAAGGCATTTTCTGTTTGAGGAACTTGTACGTAATCATTGAAAGTCATGTCGTATAAAAATATTTATTGACATGGGAAAATGATCACTATACTTGCAGACTTCAAGAGCTGGTTATTAGTGAGCATATACACTATTATTCTGTTTAAATATATGTACACATATACATAGTCATAGCAAAAAAAAATATTAGCTTGCAATAGGCCATATGTTATGATGGTTATCTTTGGGTGTGAAAAAAATACTTTTGGTTTTTATGCTTTGTGTTTTTCTGTGTTACCTAAATCTTTGCATTCAGTATCCATTTCTCGTTTTTAAAATATATTTTTATTTATTTCAGAGAGGAATGGAGAGGGAAAGAGAGGTAGAAACATCAAGGATGAGAGAGAATCATTGATCGGCTGCCTCCTACATGCCCCCTACA